TTCAAATATGTTGTATTGTTCTGCACAACTTGAACTAATGGAGCTGACCACAGACAAATATTTTAAATTTACCATGTGTGTTTAGAGATGTCTCATTTCAGGGATTATTTCTGACCCCACACAGAAGGAATGCAAGAAGGAATGTATAGGTAACCATTTCTATAACTGTGCTCCACTCATGACTGGCCTGAGTGGCATGGTTGGCCACAACAGGTTTGTTGTATGAATAAACTAATGTAGTAAGTTACTGATACTTTTGAGAAAATAATTACAGTTTACTTTTTAACACATTTTCATTTTACATGACAATTAGCATCATACCAAACAAATGTGTTTCGATGAGTAGAATTATAGTTAATGTGGCACCTGGATGGAGAAGAATTTTAGAGAATTATTTGTGGAAACCTCTAAATTTACTGGTTCTATAAATACTGGTACAAAGAAGTGTTTCACAATTTTAAAAGCACATATATTTTTCCTTCTTTTGTCTACAGACATCTTTTAAAATGATGTTAGCAGTGTAACAGTAGCCCACTGAATATTTGGAATGTCTTTTTATTAATTAATAAAACAAAGCTATCATTAAGCCTAAAATTATACTTCTCTTCACTTAAAAATGCCATAGATATAGATTTTATTTGAAGAGAAGAAGAGTTATCCCAGACAGGAAAAGAAAATATTGGAGATGAAATCATACATCCCATAGAACTCTTTTGTATAGATCCTGGTCTGTGCCAACTCTATGGATGCAGAGGCACATAAGAGAAAGTCATAGTTTCTTATAGTTTCAAGATAACAAATCCAGAGTATTCAAAGTGCTTAGATCTGAAGAAGTAGATGTAATGAATAATATTAAAATATTTCCTTTCCTGCCATTTGTGACAACATGGATTGAAATTGAAGGTATTATACCAAGTGAAATAAGAGAAACACAAATACTGTATGATATCATTTATATGTGGAATCTGTTATTTAAGTGCATTTTCCTGTTATTTAAGTACATGTAAATATAAGACATAGATTTTACACATAAATTCCATATTTAGTCAGTCATTAGGGAATCCAAACTAGGCTTTAATTGATTTTCCTTTTTTTTTTTTTTTTTTTTTTTTTTACTTAAAGCATCACATAGACCAGGGCTTTTACTTTGTGTAATATCCCACTGAAACCATCATTTAATTTAATTAGTTAAGTGATGATACAAACTTCCACTAAGGGAGTACTTTGGTTTGTTTTTTCTTTCTTTCTTTTTTTTTTTTTTTTTTTTTTTTTTTTTTGTTTAAGGGAATATTTCTTTTAAGACAAGAAAGGCATGACAATGTGTGTGTCTTTGTATTTATGTAAAACTACCACTATACGGGCAAACATACAAATGGTCACTTTTCACAGGCTAATTTTAAAATACTTATGTGAGGTATTAAAAATAACATTTTCTGGGGTACCTGGGTGGCTCAGGTCGGTTGAGCGGCTGACGTTGGCTCAGGTCATGATCTCATGGGTGCTGGGTTCGAGCTCCACATCAGGCTCTGTGCTGACCGCTCAGAGCCTGGAGCCTGCTTTGGATGCTGTGTCTCCCTCTCTCTCTGCCCCTCCCCAACTTGCGCTCTACCTCTGTCTCTCAAAAATGAATACATGTTAAAAAATAATAATAATAAAATAAAATAATAAAAAATAATATTCTCCAAAATTATACTTCACAGGTCAATGATGCCACGTGTATGCACCATATACCCTCCTCCCCCCATAGGACAACAGCTTAGAACAAGAGATTCCCGTTGCCATATAATAATACACTTATACATCATTAAACAAAAAAAAGCATTTTATTTCTTTAAAGTCTTTCTGAAAAAAACTAAAAGTGAAGCTTAAAATTTAATTAATGTCAACTAAAGATTTTATCTAAAAATAATATTTGGTTTATAAAGCTTGAGGTTAAGTTGAACGTAATACTTCTATGTATGTGATCTTTGAGGAGTCACTGAACTAATCAGTGCCCTCTGCAAGCAGACCAGGCATAATTTATCTCTCTCTTAACAAACTTACTAACAGGAAAAGTGGGAAACAAATAAACAACCTGGGAACACAGGCTATGCATGCAACCAAATGACCAACACCATCTGTAGATATGCAGATATATGTGCAGTAGGTATCTAGGATGGTGAGATATTTGAAAGATTCTAAAGATTGTTACCAAAATTTGTAACAACTTCAACCAGCTTGATATGGATAGAAAACTAATTCAAGGAATGAGTCTCCCATTGAGTTTTAAAGCAAAAGTCCTTTGTGGTATTCTAGAGTAAAAGAAACATATGTACAGTAAAAAAAAAAAAAAAAAAAAAAAAAAAAAAAAAACACATATACTCAGAGAAGGAAAAGGTATTTGGCACATAGATGATGTGGCAGAACTCCATAAGAAAGGCAAGAGCTTTAGGAAAGATTGAAGTTTGGTTTAGTGATATGTCATTGAAAACTATTGCGTCCATGAGACTCAAAGGAATGAATTCTCCAAACAGCTATTACACAACCAAGATTGTTTTCCTGCAGAGATTATTTCTTTCCAATCATAAGTGGACTTTGGCTAAAGTTTTCCTTATAAAACCAGAAACCTAATCCAGGGCTGCATTGCCCTAGTACATACTATTATCTAGAATATTCCAACTTCTATTTTTGGAAACTAGTAAAAACTTCGGGGTAGGAGAAGAAAATAAAAATAATTATAGTGATAATTTTCATGCCTTCATTAAGATCATTATCCTAATTTTTTTACACTTCTTGGTAACTCCATAACACAGTTATAAGCTTATAGAATTGGTCATTATTTTGCTCTTGTAAAATAAGTTTTAAAAATAAAATAGCGGGGCACCTGGGCAGCTCAGTTGGTTAAGTATCTGACTCTTGAATTCAACTCAGGTCATGATCTCAGGGTCCTGAGATTGAGCCCCACATCGGGCTCCATGCTGAGAGTGGAGCCTACTTAAGATTCCCTCTCTCTCTCGCTCTCACTCTCGCTCTCGCTCTTGCTCTTTCTCTCTCCCTGTGCCTCTCTCTCTCTCTCTCTCTCAAAAATAAATATATAAATAAATAAATATTAAAATAATCATAGCTCAGAAAAGTATAATTAACCTAATGAAGTTCTGTTCCTAAAATCACTCCCCCATTTGCAAATGCTCAAAACCAATAAGTGACTTGCAACAAGGAGATAATAAAGTTCTGGAGATACAATGCACAGCACCATGATTATAGTGAACAATACTGTACTATAGACTTCAAAGTTGCTAGAATACTCAATCATTTTCACTATAAGAAAGAAGTGGCAATTATATGAACTGGCAGAGGTGTTAAGACAACAGTCTTAATTTTAATCAAAGGTGAGGCTGAACCTAATAAGTTATATAGATCCCAGTGTTAAAACTTAGAGGGATGTAAGAACAAGGATTTCAGTCACAGGTGATCCTGTATTCCTCCAGTATTAACCAAACTTGAAAATTCTTCTCTTTATATTGCAACAATTTCCACTAATGCTATAAATCTTTACTTCTTTATTATTCCTGTCCTCTGATTTTCAGTCTCTTTAGAAATTCTAGAAGCCTTAGTTTCTTCTTCACAACCATACTTCACACAGACTTCAGTGGTTGGAGCTCATTACCTCCACTTCCAATTTAAATTTCCCTTTTTCTTTCTCAATTTAAATTTCCAATTTTTCTTTCCCTTATTAAATTTTTTTTTACCTCCTCTTTGGATACATTTTTGTTTGTATATCTACATGTTGACAGAGTTTTTTCTCCCCCTCAATCCAATCAATCTTTGACCATGCATCCAATTGAGAAAAAGATAATAAAGTAAAATGTTTGTAGTTCTATTCATTGTTATGAAATGTATTCACCTGATAGTGTGCTATTATGATTCTTCTTGGCCATTATTACTTTATGAAAACATTGCTGCCAATTTATGATTAATACTTATATAATTATATTTATTTTTAAGGCTATATTTCAAAGAAATATCTATACTTTTATCTTTCAAAATCTATACTTTTACAGGCTGAATTCCAGCATAACTTTAGGTTTTCAACATAGCAAATTGGTATGCTTTCCTATGTTGACATTGAGCTATTTCATATTTAAACATACATACTTCATTCATTCAGAAAATTTTTTCTGAAGAACTAAAACAAGCCAACAAATATGTTCAGATGCATGAACTGGAAATTAAAAACCAGTACCTATGACATCATCACAATCCCATTTCTATGGCTGTTTGTTTCACCTAAGGTTAACCAAACACATGACTCATCAAACATCTGCTCACCATCAATGAAAAACAGGGATGTTTGATTATGTGAGAAAACTCAAAAACTAAACCATACTAACATACACAAATATATAGAGTACTATAATGAAGTCAATTTGGTGAAAGATATCAAATGTAACCTTATGTACTTTTTGAAAATTTGCTTTATAAACTTGTTATGTTCTTAGCATCTGCTAAATAATTGTCATTATAAGGGTAAAATTACTTACATCTATTACATCATTACATAGATGTTCATAATCTTTATGAATAAATAAATATAATTTCTTATATATAAAAAGGATTATAAAATTAATGACTAATTAACCAATAATTAACTATTATTTATATTAGTGAATTAATTAATTAACATTAAATTAATTGATATCAAGGAAAACGATTAATGAAAGTCAGTTTCTGTGTATTAAATCTAATAAAATTGTCAACTGGCAAAAAAAAAAGCTGGTGTGACAATTACTGCTACAATAAGATCAACTTTTCTTTCAATGACACAATAATTTTAACTTCATTTTCCAGGGTAAATGTAAATTTGGAAACTATGCAGAAAAACATAGCATACATAAATATTTGTTTGATTTTTCAATAATCCTTAATATCGATACTAGACTTACACTCTTCTGTCAGTTTTCTATTCCTTAGTAAAACATCTTTGAAGAAATTACAATCTTTAGGAACAAAAGAAAGCTCACCTTATTACAAAGTTGTGACTGTCAATCTCCTTTCCACATTCACTATCGAGCAGAATGCCAGAATTTCCAACAACTGCACAGGTCTTAAATCTGCGATTTTTCATTGGTGACACTTCAGGTAGGAGGCTGTGAAGATCCTGAGAAATATTTAGTGTCCGACGCCTGTCGAGTACATAGTGTATGACATCACCAGGCTTAAAACTGCTCTTGACCACTGAGACATCTCGTTCTGCATCTAGGAAACGAAGAATGTTCTTCCTATATGTGAAATACAAAGTTTTCCATTAATGACAACATAGCCGAGAACTGGTGATATGCACAAAGTAACAGGTAATAAAATATAAATTGATAAATTACTAATCTTAAATTGTCAGGTGGTAATTAAAGCAACCAAATAAGTGAATTCTATTGAAATTGAATTTGTCCTTAAAAAATCATTTGCACATACATTCTCAATGATTTGTCAAATAAATATAGTATACACATCTATTTATAGAGTGAAAAAAGGTCCCCATCTATCAAAAGATATAGAAAAAATAATTTATTCTGCTGCAGGCACTCTGGGAAACAAAAGGGAGTTTCCTCAGAAAGTTAAAAATACAACTACCCTATAATCCAGCAATTGCACAACTAGGTTTTACCTAAAGGATACAAAAATACTAATTTGAAGGGACACATGTACCCCAAAATGTCTATAGCAGCATTATCAACAATAGCCAAATTATGGAAAGAGCTCAAATGTCCCTCAATTGATGAATGGATAACGAAGATGTGGCACTTCTATGCAATGGAATATTACTCAGCCATCAAAAAGAATGAAATCTTGCCATTGGCAACAATGTGGTTGGAGCTACAGTGTATAATGCTAAGCGAAGCAAGTCAGTCAAAGAAATACAAATACCGTATGATTTCACTCATATGTGGAATTTAAGAAACAAAACAGATGAACATGGGGGGGATGGAAACAAGAAAAGAGAGGGAGGTAAACCATAAGAGGCTCTTTTTTAACTATAGAAAACAAACTGAGGGTTGCTGGAATAAAGGTGGGTGGGGGATTGGCTAAATGGGTGATGGGTATTAAGGAGGCCACTTGTTGGGATGAGTACTGGGTGTTACATGTAAGTGATGAATCACTAAATTCTACTCCTGAAACCTATATTACACTATATGTTAACTAGAATTTAGATAAAAATTTGAAAAAGGCCAAAAAGAACATTTTATTAAATAAAACAAAAATGCTGTGACTTGACTTTGCCTAACTAGATATTCTGCTAGCTTTAGTTAATTTTCTATAGTCATATTGTTTTGTTTTGTGTTCTGTAGTTAAGGTAAATAGAAATAACTTAAAATGGTTTGGAATTATACCTTACTTAACTCTATTAAAAGGATTAAACTTCCCAATAAACCTATACATTAACTCAAATCATGTATATATTATAATTATTTGTAGAAGGGTTAAAACTACACTGTATGAAAGTTTTCTTTCAAGAATCCAGGAAGAAAGATGGGTACATTAGAGGAAAAAAAATGGATAGATAAAATACCTCACTATGCATGGCAGAGATAGCTAACAGCTCCTTAGTGATCTTCCTTGCTATCTTGCTTTTAGTATTTGAATTTTCTAAGTTTTGCTCAGGCATAAGAATCCTCAGCTAAAACATTTCCAAGTTTACAAACCCAAGTGCAGATGGGTTTGGTAATGTGAGTTAGTTTTCTTACATGGGATACGGGTGGATCATGTGCGTGGCTATACAAGAGAGAAATAAAATCTCAACTTGTTTGATCCACTGTATTTTAAGGTTTCTCTTTTGTATTATGGAAGCTTAGCCTATTCCATACCAAATAAAGAAATTTATAACAGATTCAAAGGTGCTGTATAAACAAATATGTATATGCTAAGTTAGACGATAAAAAAATAAAGGTATAGCCGGCTTTTGATATAATCAAAACTCTTATCTGCGGTAACCTGGGAGTTATATCCTATATCTAATAAGCCTGTTGCTCTTGGAAAAATGGTTAAAAAGTGTTTCATGTTGTTTTATGTTGGTTGCTCCTTTTAGCAAGGCACTAAGACAAAGTCAGCCAAGTGGCAAGCTGAGATGGAAATGGCAATGACCTGTATGTAAACTGTGTGAGTTTGGTAATCGGGACCTCCAAAATGTCTCAAATACCCCAATTATCAAAAGACACAACTATAAATCAGAGCCATCCCAGGAGCAAGAGTAATTGCCTTCCCACCAAATTTATAGATTCAAATGACTTGGGAGGGAAATTGAGGGAAAGGATGGTGAAGCTAGAATAATTAGAGGAGAGTCAGAGGCTGAACTGTTCAGAAGAAATCTCTGGGTGTGGTTATTTATACAAGGAATTAACTATAAGGAAATGGCCCAGGAGTCTAGTATGTTTTTGAAGGAATTATATTTCTAAAGAAATTATAAGCCTGCCTGCAGACGTCTGAGATCACTTAATCCTCAAGCTACCAAACATATACCAGCAAGAAGCAATCTGAGAAACTCTCTCCAAGATTGGAAGTTGGATATAATTTACTGAAGTGCTCTTATTATAAGCTTGTATTTCAGAGTGCTAAAAACAATGCCATTATTATAACATTTAAGATATGACAGACATGTTTTCCTTTAGTGCTGTTACGGTTTAAGCTCTAACACATTTGTAAATTTTATTACTGAGCACAATGTGACCTCCTCCCAGTACTCAACCAAAAGGGCAATTCTCTGTATCACACAAGCCAGAAGCACGAATAGCAAGGAGGGATGAAAAATACCAACTCAAATCTTCCTTTTTGTTTTACTTTGGTTTGCTTTAAATAGGTGCCAGTTTAATGTCTTATTAGAAAACCAGTTGACTGAAAACTTTGGCCAGGTTTGATACACAAGGGATATAACCATTAATTCTCTGGAAAAGAAAATATTTTTTGAATTTTTGCTCCAATCAGAATATCAGGTTCATAATTAGAATTTATACAGGAAAAACCTTTATAAATGCCCTATAAATGAAATTTAAAAATTAATAAAAATGCTATCAAGCACCATAACAGTTCATCTTAACTAAGTACAGATTATATGTGAAGACAATTGCTAGTGAAATCAGCAACTATAGGGTATATGAATTACAGAAAATTAAGAAGTCTTTCATTATGTTAAGAACATATAATTCTTCACAAAAGTTAACTATCACCAAGAACAGCAATCCATAGAAACTTTTGTACATACTTACTGACATTTGTTTGTTTAGAGAAAAGTTTTAGTAATGCCTGACACCTGTATTTCAAAAAAAAAATTCTCATTTCCTGTGAAAATGACAAGGCTGGCTCTAAAATAAAAACTGCACGGATGTGGTCAAATCACCAAACTAGATTATCATTTTCCTTTGAACATAATTTAAAGGGGTTGTTGTAGATATTTGAAGATGTAACTCACAAGTGGTGAAGTGTTTGCAAATGTGAGGTAAATAGACCAGAGAACAAGATTTGAAAGAAGACTCTTTAACTGGGAAATCCAAAAAGCAAAATCCCTTTACTCAAGAAAAAAGTTACCACTTACGTTCTTGTCAACTGATGGGGACTTTCCAATTAACAGCACCGTTGCTGTGTTATAGAGACTTCGCAGCAATATGTTTTATTCTTTACTTTTTTTTCAGGGCACAAAGCTACTGTATTTGGACACAGTTTGCTACATACACAGAAAAGCTCAATACGGGTTTCCAGCCAGCCCAACCCCGAGCACTGCAAAATATTTTAAACACAGGTCTTTTACATTCCTCAGTATAACAGAACATCTTTCATTTGTTCACTCTTAGGGAAAATTGATATTAAAAACGAACAATAAGAGTTCAGAGAAATTTCAAAAGATAACACATTGTCTAACACTTGAGATACATGACATAATTATTAAATGCAGATAATACTATGTGTTCTTCCAATGCTCTTGTATAGGCTGAACAATTGTTTATTTTGTTAGTATAGTATTTGTCTTTTAATTCATTTTATTTTTTTAATGTTTATTTATTTTTGAGAGAGAGAGAGGGAGAGGGAGGAAGTGAGGGGCAGAGAGAGAATCTGAAGCAGGCTCTGTGCTGTCAGTACAGACCCTGACGCGGAGGCTGAAAACCATTAATTGCGAGATGTGACCTGAGCCAAAGTACAATCGGAGCCAAAGTACAACACTTAACAGACTGATTTACCCAGGCGCCCGATGTTTACTTATTTATTTTGAAAGAAAGAGACAGAGCATGCACACAAGGCACAGAGAGAGAGAGGGAAGACAGAATCCCAAGCAGGCTCCGTGCTAACAGCACAGAGCCCAATGTGGGGATCGAACTCACTAACTGTGAGATCATGAACCAACCCGAAATCAAGAGTGGGAGGTAAACGACTGAGCCACCCAGGTGTCCTTATTTGCTTTTTTTAAACTGGAAAAAGGGGGAAAGGAAACCTTGAATGTCTGCAGTATGTCCTTTTTCTAATATTGAACTAAACTTTTCTATTTTAGGGCTTACATCTATGCATGGAACATTATTTTAGCTCAGACTCCTGGTGTAGGATCCAAGAAAAAATGAAAATAATTATTATGAGTGAATAATATTGTGACTTCAATGCTTAATAACTTCTTCTTTTTTTTTTTTTTTTTTTTTTTTTTTTTTTTTTTTTTGCAAACAGTACGGAAAGGTTATGTTTTTCTCCGTAGCAAGGTATAGGCATTTTTTTTTTTTTTAGATTATAGATGTAATGGACTATAAAAAGTTCTGTAGATTTGCTAAATCTAGTTGTTATTCAGACTGTAAATCTCTGAAGAAAAAGAAAAAAAAAAAACTAATGCCTAAGTATAATTAACTAAATGCCATTGGAAACATGAAAAATTCTTATGCTGAACTGAAACAACACTTTATCACCAAGAACATACATGCTTTTGCTCAGATAATTGACATGCATGAAAACAGCAGATTCAACAGAATGATTTCAGCATGAGAGAGACAAATTATTCCTAATACTTTTTCTTAATATGTGGTCAAGTTATTACCAGATACTTAAAGCAAGGGGTCATGTTTTCTGTGTGTGACTGAAAAGAACAACAACAGAAAAGATTCCTGACAGGTCTTCAACTGTCGTTTTGTGGCCATAATGTAACTTTTGAAGCAAAAACCTAAATTCAGTAACTGTTTTGATGATAAAGATAACTGAAGGAGTCTGAAAATATGTTTCGCTTTCAGTGAGACTAAAAATCTTAGTCATAAAGATTATGTTTTGTTAGGCAATCCTGGGTTAAACTGAAAGGCTGGTTGAGACTGTTAAACTGACAGGAATAGATTCTATACAGAAACTTTTCAACTGAATTTTCAACTAGAACTTCCCTTTCAACAACACACATCACTTGAAATAGCAGCTGCAGAGTTCCAGAGAGTTAATTTACTAAACATTGTTTTCACTTGTGTAATGTTAAATATAGCTAACCTATCACCAGGTGCCACTCTTTCTTTTCTGTAGGTTTCTTGTCAACAACAAGCATACGTGCTGTGGCAACTAAAATTTAATCTAAATGACACTGTTGACTCCATCAGAGAGTATTGTTAAGACAAATCTTACAGCTGGAACGCATCACAAGTTGAGAAGCAAATTAGGTTATAAAAAGAATCAGTTTTTGTAAACTTTTGACTTTAACCAAAAATCACTGAATTGAATCAATTGTTACTAATGTGGTTTATTAAAAAAATTAAAAGATTTAAGAAATGCCAAGTGTTTCATTATGCCTACAAAAATGCAGAGAGAACACACAAATTTTTGTCTCAAAGATTATTTTCACAAGGCAATGTTTGTCAAAGCACTGAAAGAACATAATTAGTTTGTTATAGGACTTCTGAGCTTAGGGTCCCAACTGATACAGAAAGATATTCTAGCATCAAAGAAAAATCCTCCACAGCCAGGCAAAATTGTCTCAAAATGCTTGAAGAAAAGCATTTTTTTAGCTTAATTTACACCTCAGATGATCATTTGATTATTTGGCACAGCATTTAGCAATATGGATGAATAATATATTTTATTATTTTGGAGCAAAAGAACCCTCCACTATGTGTATTCCATAAAGACTACATTTTTAGTATGAAAATAGAGCCCCCCCCCAAAATTGTTTTCATAATAAAAGATCTGGTACCAGTTGGACAGAACTAGCTTTGAAGTTTGAGCAACAAACAAGCTGTGTGACCCAAAATGCGCTCCTCTGGTTAATTACTGAACAAAGTATGTAGAAGAATTTTATGTGGACTTTGCTCTAAAGTAAATGAATGCATGCAACAGTGAATTATTTTTGATAGGTAAGCATATATAAATGTGCAATTATGTTTAGTTAACCTGCAAGCTTGACCTTTTTAAAAACTTTGATGCATGACAATGCTGAGTTGAAAATATTATTTCAAACTAATCATGATGTTTTTAATCTTTCCCGATAAGTTGCTGACCTTGTACCTCTCTATATGTCCACATTTGGTATTGTAATTCTTTAGGTTTCTATTTAACCTATGAAAAATGAGGGGAAAAACAAACAACCCAAAGATGTAAAAAAAGGTCAAGTCATCAGTGTCGGACACGATCAAATAATCTCTCAGTACAATGTTTATGGATTTACTCACAAACACCTGATGTATCCTAAATGTATCATTTCTTGGCTTACACTAACAAAGAACAAACACTACCAATGAAATCAAGTCCTTAACCAAAGTAATTATTTTAATTGTGAAATTAGCTGTGGAATGTATAAACTCTTCTAAATATTGATGAATTTTCAAAGTACAATGAAGGTGGAGCCATCTCTCTTAGAAAACTCCCCAGACGTACAGTTGTTTGATGAACATATATAAATCAATTCTTGATGTGCTTATGAAATTAGCAGAATATATATATATATATACATATATATATATACATATATATATATACATATATATATACATATATATATGTATATATATATACGGCTGGAAAAAATAGTAATAAGAAAGAAAATCATGTCTACTAATGTAGGCAAAAACAATTTATCTTTAGTGACTACTTCACATGTTAATGCAAATAGATAAATAATTTATAGGGAATGTCACAAGAGCATTATAAATGTAATGAGATTTTTAAAGTTAGAAAGATTTGTAAGCATGGTTTAATCATGTAAGATCAAAAATGATTAGTTGTAATATCCTAATCAAAACTTCAAAGTAGAATTTTAAAAACACTTGTAAAATATGTCCATACCCACTCACAGACACCAAGTAATATGGTTCTTCATAAATGTTATACATGCAGGGAAGAAATAAAGAAATTTAATAATCCAAAATAGTTTATGGTTAGTTTCTTGTACGACTTAAGAAAAACAAAAACTCAGCTAACAATCAGACATTTTCATAGTCTGAATTTTTTATTACAGGTGTCAAACTGATTAATACTCACTAGTTACTACTACTATAGGCAATTATAATTTTTATGAACTGTTTGCATGTTGTACAATAATGGTTTTACAGATTATTTCCTTGTAAGGAAGTGACAACTTTGTATGTATTATTCAATATTTGCTCAATGTTTTATTGTTTACTTCTTTATCTGTTATGGAGAATCATATGAAAAGAGTACTAACATTTCATACATATTATCATCTGTTATAACTGAAAACAGATTAATCACCTTCAAAGATATGAACATAATCTTCATTAAACTGTAAAATTATAATAATGAATTTCTTCACTCAATTTATGGTTAATACCCTTAGTCTGAATATCTTAAAAATGGCAAAATGTATCTCTGTATCCTCATGGGGATCTATAGTATTCATTTTTGTATAGATACTAGAAAGGCATGGCCACATATATTAATTAAACTATTGCTAATTACTTATTGAATTTACTTATTAGACTTTACCTTATCTGATATGTTATTTAGCATACTTAGATACATTAAACTATTAAAATTTCATATTTTACTTTACTTTCTTCCACTACTTTTCTTTACTTGATCTGTATATCCTTACCTAATTGGCCCCCTTCTTGCCCAATCTTTCAGTTTGAGAGTTCTTTTTGAGACACCTATAGATTAAATATTTCCTTTTTAAATCACCCATATTTCTGTTTTCCCAATCTACTTCCAAGAAGTAGTAATCCTTATTCTGTTCTAAACTAAAACACACCTGTATTTATGACCCTATGTAGTCCCGTATTCTGTTGCTTTTTCCTCATATAATTATCTCTTTCAGGGTTTTTAATTTAAATGTGTGTATAGGGGTGTGAGATAGTGAGGATGATACTAGATATGTATCAATAAAGAAATGAACCCCAGGTGTAAAAATGTTGAACTGCAGAGATCATGGCTACAGTCGGCCTCAGATAACTAGTTCTCAGGAGGAATACAGGCCCAGAGTCATCCAAATTTTCCTTTTCTCCAGAGTATACAAAAATCTGTGCTTTTATAAGGAATCTGCTAATTTTAATATTGGTTTTGAGGGTTTTTATTTATACAGTTGAAATAAATCTTGCTTGCTGACCATATTCTACCCAGAAGACACCAATTTATAAACTGTCATCAGATTCTACTCATCTCCTCATTCTTATTCTCTGCCCACAAATATACAAAACTTCCCCTAAACTAAAAGCAACCAAGCATACACTATTTGATATTGCCGTGATTTGATTTGTTTCCCTCTCCTCATACTTCCAAAGCTTCAAGCAAAGTAGTCTAATGATCCTACATTTCCCTGGCACCCATCTTTTAAACAAATTTCCAGACAATCTTCCAAGTATATTTCAACATGTAGTGTCTTTGCTACAACTCATTTTAAGAATTGTTATGCATACTCTACAGATGAGTGTAGTAGACTCTTCCTTCAAGTTGGTCATAATCTATATTATATGTTAGTATGATCCAAGAAGCAAGTAGATAGAAACCCAACAAACAGATCAATGGCTTATCCTCTTAACCACTAACCTAGTCTTACAAAATCTGTGCAGGAATATCCAATCATTGAATAATCAGCATTTTGCCAATATAAAAATGCAATTATTTTATCATGTAAAGGATATTTCTTTGAAACTTTTAAAACAAGTTTGATTTACTGAAATGCTCTGATTTAAACATACCAACCAATATAGCTATGTAGTTGTAAAGAAACATGATCTGCTTGCTTCCTCCATGCTTAGGAAGGTCTGGCCCTAAACTTCTTATTAGTTATAGGATTATACTAGAAGAAAATAAGATATAATATATGCAGGCACTGAGATTGATTTCATGAGCTTGTTTCAGGTAAAATGCCAAAATCTTATAAAGAATAAAGAGTAAAGAATAAACCAGTACTCTAGAAAATGTACTTTCTGACTTTCGCCAATTTAGGATATAATCATTGAGACTCTTATTACAGGGGCTCACATAGAAATATCTATTCATAGGGTAAAGCAAATTTACTTATAATAGTCAGCAAAATAGGAATTGAATAGGCTGTCCTTTCATCCAGTGTGCAAAAACACAAGATAGGGAAAAACTTATAAGGAAGTTAAAGGTAGGTTTCAAAATATATGTCCACCCTGACTAATAGAATAAAAAAAAGAAAAGCCTATTAAATATTAGTATTCTGTTGAATATTTTATTCCATTAGAATAGAGACAGTATATTCAAAACTCACACATTCATCCTTAAATTTCTGACTGCATAATGATTTCAGTTTTATGGCTTCATATCCTTCATTGATCAACATTAAGTAGAGCTGGTTCACTCTTTTATTAAAGTATTCATACTTAAACTATAAATCAAGCATTCAATATAAGTTTGCCAAGCCCAATGTATTCAAGAACATGATGTGAAATTTATTATGGCTTATTAAAGAAACCCACCTTATTTCCAGCACCAAAGAGGAATTGATTTTCCAACCTTCTACAGAGTGCTGGAAGATTGAAGAGCCAGCCTTTCGAATGATTTTATCAGAACTATTGACAAGTGATCGACTCAAACACAGTTCACCATCTCTGAAACAAAACAAAAATGCCAGTTATGTGAAAGTAAGAAACATTTTATCTAAGCAGCATAATACATAATTTGACTTAGATTACTGGTAACAAATCGTCGATACAACTTTTTTCTACATGTTAGAAATATGACATTGCTGAATGGTACTACAAGAATTAAGAGAATATGACTTTATCAGGGTAATCATTTACACTTATTCTTTTTGAAATAAAAACAGTTTTCCTATAAAGGCTTTTGTGGTGTTTAAAGAAAAAAAAAATTTGTTTCAAACTCTGTCACCCCTCCCTGTTGTGTTTAGACAATAGAAACAGGAAGTTTGGCCAATTCTCCTGCATCTGTATAATTGTGACTCTCAAGATTGTAATTTTGTTTCCACAGAAGGCATATAGACACAATGGAAAGAAATTTTTTTTGGAGTAAGAAGACCTTGGAATACCAGGTGATCTGGACATGTTGGTGATTCTTTCACTTGCTAGCCTATATGTCCTTGGACAATATTCTCTTTCTAGACCACAGCGGCCTTGCTTGATCTTGAAAACTGCAATAACATTATCTAATATGCAATGAATTTGTGACAGTGGGAGTCTGTATGTGAAAGTAATTTATAAAGCATTATTGGCGTGCTAATTTCTAAAATTACATTGAGTCTCAAATCATCTCAACAATGAGACACTTTCCTGATAATTGTTGGTGGTAGGGAGACAGGGATTATAATAAGGAGAAAGAAAACTTATTCACTAGCCATTTTTACTGATACTTTCTATTACATTATACACACACGTACACACACACACAAAACAACTGTGCCACCCCTTTCGGTCAATATTGTCAGGCAAGTACATAATGTGGCACGGTAGGTGCTGGTGGTAGTGCTGATAGTGACAGATACCCGTGATAGTATTTGTGTCATTAGAACAGTTAAAACAGAACCAGTTTATTGTTCAAAAGACTATTTTCATGGCACTTTATAGCTAGCTATAAACTGAGACTCAGAGAAACAAAATGCTACCTGTTTATTGTATAGCCCTTTCAGTATCTGCATTCATTTCTTTACATGTTACCTTTTACTTTTTTTTAAATCTCAAAAATATAGTTAAAAAGGCGATTATTTGTTCAGTCAAAAAGTCTAAATCTGTATTTATTAGTAGGCAATCCTCTCCTACTATCAATGGAAACATTGCCTGTGTAACAGCTGTTAGATGAATTCTGTAATTAGAGGCTTATAGTTTGGTATTTTGGTTTGCATTCTTTTTTAAACATGTAGTTCCAGTCTGAAGTAACTCAAAGTATCACATGCAACTACTCCCTGTGAAATTTAGAATTCTATAAAAATCAATATTTTAAATTATGCTGCTGATGAAAATGATGCACTTGCATGCCTATTCATGGCTAACAATAATCATTTTATAGAGGTCATTTAAGATACTAGGAAATAGGGGTGACTGGGTGGCTTAGCTGGTTAAGCATCTGAGTCTTGGTTTTGGCTCAGGTCATGATCTCACAGTTCATGGGATTAAGTCCGCATTGGGCTCTGTGCTGATGGTGTGGAGCTGCTTGGGATTCTCTATCTTTGCCCCTCCCCCTCTTGCTCTCTGTCTCTCTCAAAATAAATAAATAAACTTTAAAAAATTTTAAAAAGATGCTAGGAAACATGGGGTGCAATTTACTACTCAAAGGCCCAGAAGTCAATTTTTATGTTATATGTTTAACGATAATAACTGTATTTGAATGAGAATATGGATATATACAGAAGTTAACCTTCACACTTTAGGAAGTATACCTTCAAGAATATGGGCACAAACTCTCACCATTTTTAAGGCTAGGGATTTTTTGCCACTCTTCCTCTCATTAACTGGCTTGTTAATATCATCTTTTTCTAACCAGAGATTACTATAATTATAACAATTGTTTTTACCCCCGATAAACCTTCATAGGAGAAGTAAAAATATATAAATGGGTAGGCATTTTTAAATATCTGTGGAAGATTGTTTCATTGACATGTAGCTAAAGGTACATTTTGCATGGCAAAATAATTGCTGTGATGTACTTAGTTGTATGGAGTCTTTTTCAGAACCTGTAGGATTAAAAAAAAGTAATTTAAAAGTTTAAATCAGTTTTATACTAATGAAATACAACCACATTGCTCTGCTCTTTGAATAGTTTTCATTGAACTGGTGATAAGCCAAAATTCAGCTTTATTCCTGGAAAGAACTTTAAATGAAAATAGTACAACCAGTCCCACTTCTTCTTGAGGTCGATGGAATTTCTGTGTAAGAAGCCTAGGCTTAGTGCAATCTGAGGCTCTGGAGCAAATCTCTTTGTACAAAGTTAGATGGGTCCCAAGGGATGTTTCATTTGTGACCTTGGTAGTATTCTGTCTTAAAAAGGCTTTTCCTTCAATGCAAGGCATGAAGGATGTTGCTACCCTCTACTAGTGTTTCATTCCAGATCAAACATGATTACTAAACAGCACACTGATAATATCTTTTGCATAGGGCTATGTTCAGGAAGATTCAACATATACCTCTAAAGAGAAAAATCACAAAACACATTAAGGAAATAATGCAGCATAAAGCAACAGATATTATAAAGTATTCCTGCTTATATTGAGCTAAGAAAAACCTACTTACAAGATCGTCTATATGAAAGTAGTAACGGAAACTGATCATTAGTTATGTCACCAGTTTTTACAAATATTTTCCTCTTCAAAATATGAGTTGCCAGGCATCACTACAACTTATTCTATTAACTCTGCAGTATATGACAAATATGATTAATTTTTTTTTTGTTTTTTGAGATTAGGTCCCAAAAGACCTTCATTCAACCCTACTGAAAAGTCCTCATAACTTGGCTTTGGAGTAAATGTGCTCCCCACAGATTAGGTTAAATTTCCTCCTTAATACAAAATTATAAAAGTCATTCAAAAGAAAAGAACTTACACAAAAGTAAGCCTGAATAAAAACAGCAGGCAATTTTGTGTTTTCATTCCCTAAGCATCAAACAACTAAAAATAAAGATGAGATGTACTACCTTACCTACTGCTTAAGGTTTTAGTAGAATTCCAAATAAAACACGTAAAGTGCAGATTCTGGGTTTCTAGATTTATTAGTGTGTTCTACCCTAGAACTAACTGGAACCAACTTTGCAGACAATGGTAATATTCTATGAATGCTTATTTCCACTGTCAATATTATCATGTTTCATTATTAATATGGGTGGGCGATCATTTAGTGAGACAGTCTAACATACATGGGCCAAAAGGAAATCTCTAGATGATAAGAAAATTAAGTTAGTGTCATTTGCGGTCAACTAGGAACACAGTATGTGGAAATTTTAAGAAGTCACAATCAAAACAAGTATTTGTATGATATTAAAGTGTATGCCACTCTTTCAAATACATTATCTTATTAAATGAGCACACCCACATGTTTTTACCTGTAGGACCCTTAAGTTAACACATTTCCAAATATACCTCCAAATCACAGAAAGCAAGTGAAATCATGGGCCAATTGTGAAGTAAGTGCCATTTTTCCCATAAAAAAAAAATGTCCGTCAAGAATAAACCACTTTATAGCCCCATGCCTTTTGAGTTAAACTTTACTAACTAGTCATCATACCAGGCAATTGATATGTTTTGTTTGCATGAAAGGTTAAATTTCCAATAATTACTTGACCTATTCTCAAAGAATTCCTTATAAAATCCATGCTTCTAGTATTTCTCTGGGGATATGAGAATGTGGATGGTAGGCAGGAAAGTTGTGCTGGTGTTCTCTTTCCTTCTGCATGGAATGACCGCTCAATATTGTATGTAAGAACAACGCTGCGCTGACTCCAGATGGGACCTCCAGGTAAGAGAGGGGGGCGTGTAATAAAGAAAAGGTCTGCCTATTGCAAATGGTAGCAGGGAAGCTAAATACGAGGGTGTTTTCTTGGTGGTGAGGGGTGGTTCCCTAAGGTACAAGGATTACGAAAGGCCCTTAATTGAATGTACTGCCCACTCTCAAAGTCACGCAGTGCCTCCCAAAGGGCAGACTGCCCGTTAACCTGACTTTTGAATATCAGTCGGGGCTCTGGGCTAAATCTCCACTCTAGTTCACTCATCTTAAAAATAGACCCTGTAAGTGGCTTAGGTTAGAAATAGAGTCACAGAGATCATTAGATCGTTGGGTGAGTCAACTCCTCCACTAGAAGCACTGTTGGGAAGTTAAAACGAAATCATGAGCTAGGTATCACAAGCTTTTCCACCGAACGTTTCATCTTGACGGAGAAGGGCAAGAGCGCTCAGCGGGACTGGCTGTGCCCGCATTCTCCCGGCAGCGCCAACTCTAGGGCGTCAGGGCAGCGGCCGCTGCGGCCGGGACGCTGCAGGGCACGAGTGCAGGCGCGGCGCCGGCGCCCGCCTCTCAGCCCTGCCCCCGCACCGCCGTAATTGCGGGTTTTAATCAAGGAGGAGGAGTCCGGTTGCCGACTGAGCCGTAAAAGTGATTTTTTTTCCCCAAGAGGAGACCGGCTTCCTGCATTAAAGGCTTTCCCCTGCCTCCCCACTCATTCTTGCACCCCCGCTGCCGCTCTCGCGGAGGAGGAGTGAATACCGGTGCGTACCTCGCTTCCTGTTTGATTAACTCACGCGCTCGCCTCACGCTTTCTCGGAGCAGCAGGGGAGCGACCGCAGCTCCGCCCCAAGAGGGGGCCCGCGAAACCCAGCCGGGCTAGCCCAAGCGCGGCGCCCTTACCTGCGCCCCCTGCCCCTCGTCGGCGTCCTGTGCGGTGCCCGCTGGCCGGCGGCGCCCAGGAAAGGGCCAAGGAGGAATGCTGCCCGGGAAATGTGGAGTGTCCCAGGTCGGTCATTTCCCTCGGAGGGACTCGGGGTGCGCTCCCCCATTCTGGCGGCGGTTTAGGGAGGCCCGGAGAGGGCGCCTGGGCAGCACGGGGCGCCTCTTCTCGCCTCACGCGTCCTCCCCCCTCCTGCTCGTCAGCGAGCCGAGGGCCCGAACCCTCAGAGTCCTGGCGAGGCTTGGCGGCTTTGTCTGGGCTCACGCGTCTGTTCGGAGCCCACCAGCCCGGAAGGGAACAAAGAGCCTCGACCCCCCCACGCCCAGCCTCCGCCTCTCCACCTCTCCCCCGCGCGCCGTTTATCACCTTCCCTAAGACCCCTTTGTCTGCCTGGGAAGCACAAGTCTGCCCGAGATGCCCACGTCCCCGCCCAAAGTCCTGCTTTCCTGACAATTGAGCTAGGCGGCGTTTTCAACCCACCCACTCCCTATGTAAACGACCTCATATAGTTCGGCTTTTCTTCTCTTCCCCAGAATAGACCTTTTACAGATTTGTGATGCATAACGACCATCCAGCCCGTCAGCTTTCTCATTCCCTTCCAGTCCCTTTCGACTGTACTTCTGCTATCTTAGTTTCCGATCGAACAGAAGATTCTTTCTGTAAGTATAAGCCTGCATCTTGCTCACTTAAACACTCATTACTTAGGGAGGAGCAGGAATATTAAACGGAGTGCATGAAGTTTGTGTGTGTGTGTGTGTGCGCGCGCGCGTGCGTGCACCTTTTAGCAGTCCACACACACACACACACACACACACACACACACACACACGCAAAGACTCTATCTTCGTTTTAATAACTGTCAGGGAACATAAAAATCAGGCTGGCATCTCTGCCAGCGTGGAGTTTCCGATAGCGGACGCCTCCGGATAAGGGAGGATTTCCGAAACAGGACTTTGAACAGAGTTGACAACCAGGTTCACATCCTCAGAAAACGCTTCCAAGATATGTAAGCAACACAAAGTTGCAGCCACCTCCTGGGTAAACTTCAAAGAAACAGAAGCCAGGGGAAGGGAGGAAGGAAGTGTGATATTTAGAGAACTTACTGGGGTGGGGGAAGCTTCTGAACTCATTTAGACAAACTAAAGAAATAGCAGAAATATAGTCTGTGAGAATCTACAGTACCCAGTTGCTAAAACTGTAACCATGACGCCCATGCGTTTTGCCACAGAAGAGCAAATAGGGAAGAATTCTTGGTTGTACTGGAGTTTCTAATTCAAACGATACACAGATCTACCCAACGAAAAGAAGAGTAAAGAATCAGCGTGTCTCCTGCTTTCTGGGCTTTAACTTCAGTCTTTGAGGAAGCCAGGCTCTCTCCAGTATCTCCTTAGAGTGATGGGCAGAAAAAGAAGGACAGCCACATGGGAAATAAAGACACCTCTCCTGAGTTCTGACCAGGGATTGAAAGGACAAAGGCACACGTTCTTTGTTGACACTTCTGCAGTGACTTCTCCTTGGGCGTGCGAGCCCCGGCGCGAACACAACTGCCACCATCACCACACAGGGCAAGTTGAACTCCTACTGAGAGCACGCCGGGGAGAAGCACACACACCTCAACAACAGCCTTTGTTATTTAATTCATGAGACTAAACGCACAAAAGCTCATTATGAACACACACACTCTCCCAACCCTCACTCTCCCGTCTATATTCACATTTCATTTATGGCTTGACTTTATTATTATTATTATTATTATTATTATTATTATATCCTGAAATGAAGCTTTGCATTTACCCGATGAGTTGCGTCTCCTGGTGCTCCTCAGTTCTTGCTATTTCTTTTGTCTTATAAAAGATCAGGAGCAGACTTATCGTGCAGATCGTCCACCTCTTCCTAATGGAGCGCATCTTGGGTGCCCGGGAAAGTCCTGGTTGCCCCAGCTCCCTCACCTTCTCTTGGGATAAAGGCTCCGTTTTGGGGAGAT